GACTAGTACTTACTGGCGGAAATAGTAATCGTCCCCCCCCTCCCAAAACAAAAAAAGCCTTCGCGTGCGCCCTCGACCTATTCCTATACTGTTCTCTCCCACTTTCGCCAGCACCTTGCTTGCATGTCTTTCTGCAAGGCTCTGCTGAAGGACGTCCCCGGGGAGCTCCTCGCTGTTGCAGGAGCTGTGTTTTAAGCGCTTTCTTGTTTTTGCATCAATGACTTGGCGCTGTCGATTGCATGAAGGGTTTCCCGGCAAGCGACAAGACATGCACACCACAGTACAAGACCAGATAATCCCTTCCTGCAGACACAACCAAGAGCCAGGCATGGGCACCATCTCCCAAACACACCCAAGCCAAGAAACTGGACTCGTCACATGTTATCTCATCAAAACAGAACTGCGTGACAGGTCTGTTTCAAGCAGGGTTGCATTGCCTGTGATGTGTAGGCACCTTCTTCTTTGCAGTGCACGTGTACCGCAGCAACCGGCTCATCGCACAAGGTGAAGAAGGAGGCCAGATGCCATCAGATGCCCCAGGAAGAAGATCACTACTGGCATAGGTATCTAATACGAATTTCAATACCAAGTCTACTTGATGACTTTCTGGGAACAATCCTGGTAATTAGCCAAATTCCCTTGCTTCAATTTGAGGCTCCAAGGACGGGCCGAAGGGCGATGACCTGGCCGTGGGACTGGCGGCTGTCTCCTTTCAGCAGTCACAGGGAATCGCAGGGAGACTCGGAGATTTCAAAGTGGGGTGGCCTAAGGGACCCTAGGCAGTTATTGGGAGTACATGAGAGCGATAGCTTCCCACAAAAGTTGTATAGGGCCATAGTTTGAAACAAGTCCTATTTCATGGAAGCGCATCAGCACAACTCAGGTTCAGCTCGTGGCGGCAGCCCTGATCTGCATTGTGGCAAGCACTATCGACAGTCGCTTGGACAAAGAGCCCAAAGTCACCAAGCATAAGATTGGGTTCGTACAGCATGCGCAGCAAGATGCTGTAGGATCCTTTGCTTCTTGCGTTCGGATCTCAATGTATCTCTACAGGCTTGGTCTCCCCTGGGGCAAGAGACAGGTCCCTACACCACTGCTGAGCAGCTTGCCGTCGCGGAGCGTCACTTGCAGCATCAAGGTCTACATAACATTTTGTGGTTCTCACGCGTTGTAGTCAAATGAAGCAAGCTTTTACGCGCTGTCGTTGAGCTTTGCTTGAACTGCCTGTGCTGTTCTAGACGTGGCCTGGCAATGAGGGCAACTCTTGTGGTGCTTCTCCGCAAACCAAGGACTGTCACCGGGCATGTGGGCGCAGATCGTGGCTTGTGGCTTGCTATGTACAGGAGGGGCTGACAGAGCAAGAGAGAATAGGAACCCGGTCCAAGTCGTAGGATTGCCGGCCGTGGTCGAGCTCTTTGCCTTCAAGTTTGTGGGACCAGCTCCTGGGCTGCGAATGGCGGATTCGGGCTAGCAGTGCCAACCAAAGGGACGGAAGCTTTTGTGCAAGCTTTGCCAAGTTGCCACTGGGCGCAGTGCTCTGGATTTGTGCTTCGCAGGCCATTGCGTCCTTGATCTACTGCACCATTCCGCTGTGGGGAACCCTCCTCTCTGTGCTCTTCCTGGAGGAGATGGTCACCAGATTGAGAAACATGTTGTTGTGGTCAGCTACAAGGTCAGGATTAAAATTGAGGAGAGCAGATTTTCACATGCGAGCAAAGCTCGATTTGTTCCTGCTGGCGCTAGTCCCACGTGGCGGCAAGGAGAAATTGGGCCCACAGTCTGAACCTAAGCTCAGTTCTTCCGGAGCAAATCTTGCCATCATCTCCATCCAAGGATCTGGAGTTGAAGGCTTTTGTAGAGTTGAGGGCTGAGGGTTGAAGTGAGGGCATGGGTCCTTTGGGGGGGGGGTTCAGGTTGTTTGTGCCGAGCTTGCTCAAGTTCAACTCTTGCAGCTGCTGAGGGCCATCCTCGCTTCCGTGCTCATTTTGGTCAGCTCGAGCCGAGCTTAGCTGCAGGAATCAGGGAATGGAAGAGTTAAAATATGGAAGCCGCTGTAGTATTAGTATTGCGTCGTCGTAGTAGGAGGAGTAGTAGCAGTAGCAGTAGCAGTAGTAGTAGTAGTAGCAGCAGCAGCAGCAGTAGTAGTAGTTGAGAACAAATAGTGTACTCTGTGACATTACATAAATGTTCACATTATAAATATACAAGATTTCTAGCGGCTGGCTGCCATCCTTTCTGCCTTCCCATCGGTTCCCCAGGCTGGGCCCCAGCATCTACGACATCATGAAGCCGGAAAAGGAGGACGCGTGATACCGGTCCAAAGCGACCCCTGGAACGCGAATAGATGTCAGACCAAGCCCTGCTCAGACCTACCAGGATGACGTCCCCACATCCACATCCCTGATTTGAAGCATGACATGGATAGCAAGGGGTCTATAGTAGGTAGCAATGACGCAACAGCGGGCCACTTGCCGCATCCTATGTGGAGCTATTGAATCGAGACCCAAAGAGGATAACTTTCAATATGGTCTTTCACAGCTGAGCCGAGTGGCTACAGCGGCTAGTGACGGTGGCTCAGGCACTGGGAGAGCACTCCTTTGATCTTGTTACAAAGATGTTGTCCTACATGGAAGGTACAACAGTTGTGGGTGAGAGGGCTCCTTAGATAGACATTGGAGATGTGCCTTCGCAGCGGGGCGCTACAGAAGTCGGATTGCGATCCAGCTCTTATCAGCCCTCCTCCTGCCCGGCAGCACTCTGACCAACCGAGCTTAAAAAAGGTGTCATCGTCCAGCCTTAGAGTCCGTCTGCAGTGGCTTTCAGTAGGAACCTCTGTGGAACAGATGGAGTCGGAGAAGATGCCATCCGTGGTAGCCACCAAAAGCATGTCAGCAGATAATTTTTGTAGATCAAGCTTATACCCCCAGACTCTCTGCCAAACCACGGCCCACAGTCATACATTCAGACGGCCAAAGTCATGAAACCACAAACGCACTTTGAATCTATGAACCTTAAAGGCCTACATCCGCAAGCTCGACCACTCGACGAACAAGCGAGGTAAACCTCCCCAAAAACCTCATACGCAGCAGCTTTGACGGAGGCTTAGTCAAACAAATTTAAACCTGAGACATCTTCAAGGCCAACATGTTGTGGTGCAATCCTGCCATGTCAGGGGCTGCAGTGGTCGGCATCCGGGTAATCGTGAGCACCTCCGCAAGTTTTCCAGGGGACGGTAGATCGATGACACTGACAGCCCAAGGTGCTAATCTGGTTTTAGCTCCCCGCCATTTGCTCCTTGCTACATGGAAGTTAGAGTGCACGAAAGCCCCTAGCTGGGCCTTAGTTGCCACAAGCACAGCCTTCGCCTCCAACCTGCAGCTACACGTACTCATGAATGAAGCTTGTAGAAAGGAGATACTGGTAGCAGGTAGTTCCATGGCCTGTGCTCTGGCTGCGGATGGCGAAGCTGATCGAGGTGATTCTTTTAAGCTTGTGAGCGTAAGGGGCAGTTGGGGAGTGATAATGGGGGCTCGTCTCCTGCATTTATAGGGATCCTTCTCCTGATTCACACCACCGCGCTCCCCCCTTAAGCACCAGTAAGATTATTGCAGCTGCGGTGAGATCAGGACTGGAGCTTTGCACAAGCCTGTAGACTCGTGATGAAGCTTACTTGTATTTCTGCGCTTTTGAAGGATTCCAAGAAGCCAAAGACAACGGTCAAGGAGCCAATTCCGATGTAAATCAAATCCAGAGGATGGGATTACAAGAAATAGGGATCTTGATCTGGCATGCGCCAACAATCTTCGAGTTCCCAGCTGCCGAGCCAGGTGTGTGGTTTCTGGAGAACATTGCCATAGGCGCTCTTAGCAGCAGCTTATTTATGGCTGAAATAGTTTCGTCCCTTAGGACATACTTTATCCAGATGCCAACAAAGTCACATACTCAATCGTTGTTAGCCGCTTCCCTACCGCGAGGAGGACGAAGATGAGAGTCCTGTGGATGGCTTGGACCAGTGGTTGGACTCTTGTCTATTGTGATCATCTGGATGCCTGAAGCTTGCTGGCTACACCTCTTCAAGATTGTTGCTGGGTGGCGGAGCAGTACCTAAGCTCAGACAACCAAGACTGCTCCCAGCAGTCTGTGACTTGTCAACTCAAGCTTGGCCATGGAGGATCTAGACATTCATGTTTTGGGAGTCGCTTTTGACAACATCCGTTTTGGTGATTGTCTTTACAAGCTTGCTCCTGCCTGTCCAAAAATGTATGTACTGAACGCTGTAGCCCTGAGTCTTACACGTCACACAAAAGCAGCATGTTATGTACAAGACATCAGGAAGCTGTCGGCCTCTCATCACGGCGAAGAGATGTGGTTGCGTGGTGCCACCTGGCTGGTCTAAGTTGTGACACAGGTCTATGATTTAAGGGCTCTGCCATGACGCAAAGCTCTTCGACAAATGTGCATCCTCAGTCAAGATTCAATTGGGACAAACCGTGGGTCAACTCTGAAAGTTGCAAAGTTGCCTTCCAAGGTCAAACCATTGGTTTGTAGAGTCTTAGTAGGAGAAGCTAGGGCTTGTGAGGAAGTGACATGGTTGCAAATGGCAGAATTTCCTTGCTCAGAATTGTCCGCTAATAACATTAAGCCTGTTGAATCAGGTCAGTACCTCCCATTGCTTACAACAACTGTCCAGAGACTCCTTCTTGGGGGGAATAAAAGCCAGTAGTACAGGTATTTGGGAGGCTGGGTATGCTACTGCAGCGCCCAGGCGAAGCGGAGGGAGCCAGCTTCTTGGAGGACTTGCTGCTCTTGCTTTGTTCGATTGGTGGCATGGCTAGATTCTGTTATACCATACGAATATGCCAACTCATTGCTTCTGGTGCGGCTGGATACATTAGACCGCGAGAAACGCCAGATGCTCAGGCATATATTCGAAGCTTGCAGGAGATAGTCGAGGAAAGCATTCTCAGGCAGCTGGGCGAGGCACCCTGCACTTGAGCTTCACGTGTTTCTTGGTGGAGCATGCAACATGTACTAGCCAGGCGCACGCACGTATGGTAGATAGGGAGAGAGAGAGAGAGAGAGAGTGCATGCACGTGTGGATTGCAGAGTTTCGCTGCTGGAGGGAGCACCCAAAGATTTTGCTTTTCCTGGTTTCATCCTGGTCATGGAAAGTCTGGGGTTGGTGTGCTTGCTGTCGACATTGTGTTTGTTCACTGCGTTCTGGTAGGATGTGCTGACAATCTATTGGAGTTGGACAGATTACCTGCAGTCATAGCCAAGACGCCACAGCAACGCCTAAACCGTAAACCCTACGGGTTGCTGGGAGTCTCAGCCCAAGGGGGTTGTCAGGATGCCGCACATACTTCGGGGCGTAGCCCCGAGCGAGTACCAAGCAAGCCGGTGTGCAGTCTGCTTCTGGGAAATTTGGGGCTAGCGAACGGAATAGAGGGCGCGAGGCGCCGAACTCAGGAACAGGAGACGATGTTGCATGTTTACGACCAAGCTATTTGACTGTGCAGGCGTAACAATGGCAGGTTGCTTAAGGATTCAAAAAAAGGCATAGCGCTTGCATTGACAACAAACCATTCAGCGCCCTCCGCGTTCTTGTTCTAATTGGTACTTGTACTGCAAGCCTGGCAATGGTAATCATTGTCATCATCAGCATCATCACAGTCTCTTCATTTTGTGAACAGGAGACCCAACAGACGAAGATCAAATGCTTTGAGCTCCGCTCTTTTTGGCTCATTTTGTGTTGACGACTGTTTGTTTGTTGCTTGGGGCCTCCAGAGTGAAGGGCCGCGCTTGGGTCCACAAGTGCTCGCATGTTTTTTTTTCCATGAAGGCCCTGGAGTTGACTGCAGATGAGATGCTGGCTGTGACGGAGAAAGCGCAGGTGCGCAGCCACGAGGTTTGTTTGCTTCCTGAGACATACTTTTTTCGCCTTGACCAGCCAGTAAAGCCACTCGAAATCAGTGTCTACCACAGCACCGTGCTGGAGTACTGGCAGTGCTGTCAAACATGCAAAGGCTGCCCTGGTAGCCGCCATCCCGAAAGCAGCAGGCCGGCCCTGATTCTTGGTGCGCAATGCAGCTTGCTGGTGATCATATGGCATATGGGATCCCAGATGCAAGAAGGGCGTGAACCCTACGCCTAAATCCCAGCAAACACAATGCCGGTGCCGTGAACACGAAAGGGATGGTTGAACACAGTCTTTTGCATCCAGAAATGTCATGGTAATTAGCTCTCTGCGACTGTCCATGCAGGCCAGCTGAGCGTGCAGGGCTTGACACTGCGCGAACTGTCCTCATCTCCCTCACGCCGAGAACCCAGGTAGCAACAGCGGCCAAGTTCGAAAACTCGAATGATGCACTTTGGCCTGGAGCCATGCTCAGGTCCCGTGAACATGCACCATGTGGCGTCTGAGAACATTCTCAGCCGCTGGGCACAGGATGTGCAGAATGAATCGATGATCCGTCTGGATGCTCACGTTTATCAGCTCAAAACGGTTCAGAAAGTTTTCTTTCACCCATACGCTCTTTCTGGTCTGTCTGAGGCAAGCGTTCCAACAGCATTTGCCCGGTGTTGACGCTCCCGGTGCCTTGGAGCCATGCAATTCACCCATGGCTCTTAGTAGTTTTTTGTAGAAAGCGGCGGTTTCCATACTTGCTAGGTGGTTACTGAAAAAGGTTTAGGGTTTTGGGGCATTACCCCCCAATGATGGAGAATCAAATGGAAAAGAAAATTTCAATGTAAAAGGAAATGGAAACTGAGGTTATACAGGTAGTTTGTGGGAATGAAGAAATGGAAGGACCTGTGAGGCTCAGGGTTTATAGGGTTTGGGGTTTAGTGAATGCAGTGTTGGGGAGTATATAAAGGCTTTTTTACAGGAACCATTCCTCCATTCCCTGCTTACGACCAGCAAGCTTAGCCGGTTGCACTATTCCAGCTGGAGATGGTAACAACATGGAGTAAGATGATCTTCACCTGTTGGTGGTTGTATTTCCGCATGATACAGTAATCTTACCTGCTTGAACCGCCAAAAATTCTGCTCAAGTGAAATTTTCTGTAACGATGCCCAGCCAATCTGGGATATTTGTGGCACTTGTTCGGTGTGCAAGATGAAGTGCTCAAGATTCCAGAGCTCACAACTTTTGGAAGCCTTCGTTTGCCAACTTGTGCACATCCCTCTTTCTGATGGCTCACTCTGAGTCAGATCTTCACTTCCCGAACATGTCAATATTCATCGCATAACCACTCGTTGGTACACAACAAAATCTAGGGAGGTTCTCATGCGCGGTTCAAGAAAGGAA